ACCAAATTTGGTCCTCAGATTTCCTGGCGGGGGGGCAGAATTTCCTCCCCCCCTTCTTGGTGGGGGGGGGGGGGATTTCGCCCCTGCATTCCCAAATGGGGGGGATGGAATTTTGTCCCGAGATGTCTGGGAGGGGGGGACAGAATTTGGCCCATTTCTAGGTAAGGGGATGGAAATTGGTCCCCGTATTCCCAAGTAGGGGAACCAAATTTGGTCCTCAGATTTCCTGGCGGGGGGGCAGAATTTCCTCCCCCCCTTCTTGGTGGGGGGGGGGGGGATTTCGCCCCTGCATTCCCAAATGGGGGGGATGGAATTTTGTCCCGAGATTTCTGGGAGGGGGGGACAGAATTTGGCCCATTTCTAGGTAAGGGGATGGAAATTGGTCCCCGTATTCCCAAGTAGGGGAACCAAATTTGGTCCTCAGATTTCCTGGCGGGGGGACAGAATTTCATCCCCACATTCTAGGTGGGGGGGATGGAAATTGGTCCCCGTATTCCCAAGTGGGGGGATGGAATTTCATCTTGGCAAGCCAAAGGGGTCTCTCTCCCTTTTGATGGCAATAAATAAACAAGAGCAGTTCTTGAGTTCTATCAACTCTTTCTTGGACCTTTTGTGGCCTCTTCAATGTGGTTCTGGGTCTCTCAAACCTGGCAGGCCCAGATCCAAGATGGCAATGTGGCTCGACCCTTGCTCCCATGGTTCATCTTTGATCTCCCTGGAAAACCAGGACCAATCCACCAGGGTCCTGGACTCTCTGTGTCTGCTTCCCCACCTACTTTTTGCAGCCCTCAGGATAGTGTGACTGAAACCCAATATCACAATGGCTTCATCCGCTTGTTTAAAACTGTCTATCAGCAAAAAGAAGAGGGCAGATTTTATTGCTTGAAATGTTCTTTGACAATTGGCTGTTTGCAGCTCAGGGGTGATTTGAAAAAATAAACGAGGACGCTTTGCCTCTATTTGCAGAATGAAAAATGCACAGTGTGCAGGTCTGGTCTTTGATAGAAGACCTTCATCTTTCTACCTTGCTCTTTTTCCCTGCACAGATTTGGCATGTTTGAATTCCTGAGCAACCACATGAGAGATGCAGACGGGAAGCTGGACAGCACACGTGGCCTTCTCGCCGGTTTGGGGGCTGGTGTGGCTGAAGCCGTGGTGGTAGTCTGCCCCATGGAAACCATCAAGGTAAAAGCATTGAAAGAAACTGGACAGAGTGTTTGCGGAATCCTTGTGGAAGAGAGGAACATTGTTTGCATTCCCTAGGGCAATGTTGTCCAAACTTGGCCACTTTAAGATGAGTGGACTTCAACTCCCAGAATTCCCCAGCCAGCATGCCCTAGGAGGTAAGGGCCAGTTGGTAGGTGGGGCTAAAAGGAGCATGGGTAGGGCATCTCTTTCCCTATGTCTCCTTTCCCATGCATCAAGGCCTTTGCTTTTCTCAGTTCTTTCCTTTGGAGATACTGTGAAGAACCATCAACTTAAGAACCATCAACCATCAATTATGATAGTCAGGGAGAACTCAGAGTTGGAAGTTTCTCAGCAAAGGTGATGGGATCCCACCACTCCCCACCTCCTGGCTCTGAAGTCTGTTGCAATAGACAGTAGACCAGGCCATCTTTCCAAGGGCTGGATCTGACCTAGGATCTGGGTTGACACGTTATATGAAGCCACACTTGTTGACTAATCCACTATCAGCCAAGTTCAGCCAATACCCTACTCAGTAAAACCATGGTTTAGAAAACACAGTGCTGGGTTCACAGGGCACATTAAGCCAGAAGCTAGCAAACAAGCCACAAGATGGCTTAGCAAGAATCAGGCCAGAATCAGGCCCTTAAAATGCTTGAGTTTTTCTTTGAGAGAAAGCGAGAGAGAGAGAAAAAATGTGTGTGTGTGTTTGCGGGTTTGAAAGCTGAAGCTTTCATGAATAAAGGCTAGTTTTTGGTCATTTTGGATGCGGCAATCCATGAAGGAGAAACAGTTGGGTGCAAATACATGATTATATAAAACCCGTCACTGTTAATATGCAGAAAACATACTTGTGTTGGATTTTGCACAGTTGAATTGTGGGGAAAACTGGCCCGCTAACATTAAATGCCCCCTGGCGATAAATAGTAAGAACTGCAAGGGCACATTTCCTTCTCTCTTTGGTTGGGTTGTCTCTTTCGGTTGAGTAAGTCATACAACTAATAAAGAGCCTGTCTTCCATGGGTAATCCGCAGAAGTAGCTAGGAGGTGTGAATTCTCTTGTAAGATGCCAAGAATACCTTCAACTAGACCAGCTTTATCTTTAGTTCATCTTTATCTCTTGTTGGGTCCTGGGGAATGTTCTTTCAACTCTATCCAGGGCTGCAAGTCTGGTATGCAAAGTATCATCTCAAACCCTTCTCTGGAGTAACAACTCCTGATGTCTTCTCTGCTGCGATTCTTCTGCAGGTGAAGTTCATTCATGACCAGTGTTCCCCCCACCCAAAGTACCGAGGTTTCTTTCATGGAGTGCGGGAGATAGTTCGGGAACAAGGTAAGAAATGGAGATCACTGGTGGTGAGATGGTGTCTTTCTCCTTATTATAGGTGTATAGTTGGGAATTGGTTGTGTTTAAAGATCAGTGAACCAGGATGGAATAGTCTTATCTAGAACAAGCTGAATGTAATTTAGAAAGTAGCAAACATCCACCCATTTAATCCCAGAGTTCGGAGAATGGATGAGATGATTGTCACTCTTAGGAAATTCAAGAGCCAGAGTCATCCATGATTATTTGGGTGGGTGTCTCATCGTTCTACCATAGTGGATTCTGAATGGTGAACACCATCTAATCCCAAATATGATGCCTTCTGGATTCATTCATTAGACTTCCATTTCTTATCCATTACTGCTGTTTTGGGGTCTCGGTGAGTCATGGTACTATTTGAGATGTTGCGAGCTGTGGTGCTGCCAGCTGGAAAATTGGCAAAGCTGGTATAAATGTTCCTTTCCTTGGACCGTAGTTTGGAGAAGCTGACGCTCCTGGTCTCAACTTAGCCAGAAACAAAACTTGTTTGTGTGTCTGGCCAGGAGAGATTTAATTTTAGAATGCTGGATTTTCCCTCTTAACTCTTCTGCCTTCATCTTCCCCCACTTATAGGGTTAAAAGGAACCTATCAGGGTTTAACCGCCACAGTCCTCAAACAAGGTTCCAACCAAGCCATCCGCTTTTTTGTCATGACGGCTCTTAGGAACTGGTACAAAGGTAAGGAGTGCCCATCATTTTAAAACTATTTCCTGTCCCTTTTCCTCTGATACTCTACTTATATTACCCTCTAAGTCAGTGTTTCTCAACCTTGGCAACTTTACAATGTGTGGACTGCAACTCCCAGAATTCCCCAGCCAGCTGCAGGATGCAGCTAAGGCAGTAAAGGAAGTGCATG